GAGAGAGAGAGAAACGAGAGGGTAGGGTTGTGTGGGATAAAATGATAAATTAGGTTTTAAAGAGTTAATTATTTAATTAAATAGATAAAAAACCTGATAAATTAAAAAAAAAAGTTAAAAACCTGATTTTTAAAAAGGAGATACTTAATGCCTGATTTTCCCTGATTTTCCCTTAATAATAGAGGTGGCGAAAGGCCAAGTAGCATGTTGGGACTTGGCCCATCGATTGCTCAAAGGACGAGCGGCCAAGTAGCTTGTCGGGACTTGGCCCATTGACGGCTTAAAGGACGAGCGGCTTGTGGATCGTGTTCATGAGCCTCATGGGCTCGTAAAAAAAGTGACCAAACGGTCACTTTTTTTGAAAAATTGACAGATCACTTAAAATATTAAAATAAAATTAAGTTCGCAGACAAAACTCTGCTCGGTTCAGCCCTTGAGCTTATGAACTCGTGGTGCCTAGTTGAACTTGGTCCTTGAGATTGGCTCGGCCCATTGCCATTTATATCAGGTATAGTGCTACTCATATCAATGTTCCGAACAAAATGGGCTGGACTTGGGCTATTACCTCAGTCAGAATATGGTCTAGGCTGGGCTGGGCTGGGCTGATTTGAGTGGGTGAATTCCTGCCCGAACATGAAATAATGCCCGAGGATATTTTTGTAAATTCATTATAACCTGCTCTTGGCTAAGGTATAACTAGGGCTGTAAACAGATCGAATCTACCCATATCCGATCAAATCCATCTTCCATTAATTTTAGTGGAAATTACACAAAATAAGAAATTTAAAAATTCAATTTCAAAAATCAGATTAAAAGTTTCACTTATCAAAAATCGGATATTTCATTTTAAATATTAAATGTTAATTCTACAATTTTCACCATAAACCCTAATCAATTTCATTCCAATTTTCCTCCTGCTCCCTCCTCATCGTTACTCTCTTCTCCACTCTCCTCCCTCTCCGCCGGCAACCTAGCCTCCATGAGACGGGGGGAGCAACTCTGCTTGAATTCTGTAAATCTGTTTCATGGACCGAACTTCATCTTCTCAAACAAGTTGAAGGACCAGCATTGCAAATTAGCAAAAACTAGAAAATAAGAGAAAAGGATGGACTCCTAGTGACGGTGGGTAGCACTTGCTGCCTTTGTGACTTGAACGCAGCTATTGCGGGTTTAGGTGCTGCCACTTCGCGAAACGCGATAGCAAGTCTCGGTGCCGTCATGACTCGCACATAGCAGTAGCGTTCTCGGGTGATGCTGCTGCTGTGTGGCAGGCAAAGTGGCGATGGTCCCATGCTAGCCACCAATGTTGATCGGTGATTGCTAGCGTTTTCCGGTGCTTTCTTGTGTTCTCTGACAGTGACATTTTTTTGCACATCGAAGACGGGGACTATGATTTTCTGGCGAAGCAGCAGGTTATGGTTGGTGAGATTCACTTGGAGCTGTTGATTTGAGGGGTCGGAGCTGCAAATCGGTGGTGGTGGTTGTGTGACGGTTGTGGGTAGTGCGGTGGTGGTGGTGGTGTGGGGGTTGTGGGTGGGTAGTGGTGGTGGTGGTGGTGATGTCGATATTTTAAGATGATGGTTTGTTGTCGAGAGGTGGTGGTGGTTTCGGGGACGGGGGTTCGGTTGTTATGCTGTTGGCAGTGGTGAGGTGATGGTCATAGTGTTGGTGGTAGTCACAGATTATTTGATCGTTTCTGATAATTAAATTCATTAATTTTTGATCAATAAACAATATGTAACTAATTAAAAATATAAATTGTGACCATGAAATAATGTGACCTAAAAAATTGTTAATTTGTGATCGATAATTTTACAATTCGTAACTGTCTACTAAGTTGTGACTTATAATATTTGTGATTTGTGACCGATGAATAAGTTGTGACGTAATTTTTTTTTATTTGTGACCGATGAACGAATTGCGACATATAAAATTTTTGAATTGTGATCGTAAAATAATTTGTGACGTTTCAATTTTTTATTTGCAACCGATGAATAAATTGTGACCTAAAAATTTTTTGAATTGTGATTGTAAAATAATTTGCGACATGTAAAATTTGTGGTTTGTGACCAATTATATAGAATTTGTGACCAAATTAAATGGAATTGTGACTTTAATATATTTAATTAATAAAAAATATATTTAATTAATTTATTTATAAATAAAATTTAAAAAAATATGAGATTTGTAATTTTAAACCTTAAAAATTTTGAAATTTTAAACCTTCTCTCTTAAATTTGAAATGAGTGAAACTAAACCTCTCAATTATGAAATTTTCCCTTAATTTTATCGAACTCGGATCTTAATGGAATAATCAAACTGAGACCCTAAATCTATCTCCCATTAATTTCATCAAATTTGGATCAAAATTCAATCCATTGACAGCCCTAGGTATAACATATAAACGTCATTCCCATCTGTTGTTCAATTTGCTGTCTATTTAATTAATTATCAAAACATTATTTTAAACTTAACATATTCAGCTTTTCTCTACATACTCCTTGTGTTTAAAATAATGTGACATTTTAAGGTAAAATAATATGTCGATCAGTGGACAGCAAAAATTGGAGAAATCTCAACTCTCTTCCCCACCGACTGTACTCCAAGGTATCCTCCACTCTCATCCCCACATTTATAGACATGCGTGAGTATCTATACGGATGCATGTATGTTAATTGAACAATTATATGTTGATTTCTTAGCATTATGTGAATATACGTTAAATCTTAGAGGTCTTCTTTTCTTATTAGCCTTTCGTTCCTTGGTTTGTGTTTATAAAAAATTACTCTGCAAAGGTGTAAAAGTAATAGATCTGTGTATATATGAATTCAGTATAGCAGCATCACTATTCACTATTGTACCTAGTTTTTGAAGGATCTTAATCTGTATTGGCTTAAAATGTGAATTTGCTCGAGATAATATTAAGTTTTGAAAACTAGAGTTTCATCTGGTATGATTTATTTGATATGGTTGCCTTTCTTACCATTTTTTATTTGGTATTCTAATCTACACTATCATTTTATGTTACAGAGAGGATGTTGATGTTGCATAGACTGCGGTTCCGGCTCCGGCTCCAGCTCCAGCTCCGGCTCTTGGAGAGCCAATGGACATCATAACTGATTTGCAGCTGGTGTTGAGGAACTCAAGGGCTCATCGTGGGCTTTCTAAAAGGCTCCATGAAAGTGCCAAAAATATCGACTATGATGCACAGACATGGACAGTGTGTCCAACACAATACATGTCGGATATGTCGACACATAATTTTTCAAAAAAGTACTGATACGACACGTTGATTAAATTCTTTAATATTCTTCATATATGTAGTATAAATTTATACTTGTTATTATATATTCTTATTGAAATCTTTTAAATATGAATATCTAATTGTTATTTACTAATAACTTTGAGTTAATATTTCTAGTAAAAAAAGAAAAATAGTTATGGTAGAGTGTTCGAGAAGTGTCGGTATTGATACGTGTCCAACGCGAACACGCTAACTAATTGAAATGTATGTGCTATAGAGAATATAAAAAATGATTATGTTAT